CTGTGCTGAATGAGGTCTTTTCACCAGAGTCCTGTGCTGTTTACTCTACTTCAATAATAGCCCTCATTTTCCAATCATTATTCGCTCAGTCTGACTGCCGCTATTAGCCTGTCCGCCGTGTCACTCATAGCACGCCGTACACACCCATATATAAACAACGCCAGCGTGCAAACACACGGCATTCCTATAATGTCAAACTCGGTGACTCTCATCTGGTAAAACCCGCTTGTCAAAAGCGTCATGACACACTTTAGGAGTTTAAACACACTTTAATTCGGCTGGCGACAGTTTGACCGTTCGGGGGTGACGCGTGAAGGGTTATTTCGGTGTAAAAATACATGTACTTAAACACGATTAGCCGGATGATCTATCGAACCGGCCTTTTTTTCTTTTTTTTTTCACGTCTAACATCTCAGACAGACGCCCGGCAGCCAAAGTCAGTGCTGCCAAACTCTCCATTTTGATCTGGAACATGGCTATCGCAGCGTATGGGATTGTTCGCCGCGGCCAATTCCTGAATCATTAAAAAAAATAAAAGAGAAATGCTTTTTTTATAAAAAAAAAAAAAAAAAAATGAGTCCTGAAATACATGCGAAAGAAAGCTGTGTTGCTATACGGAGGCTTGCTTTTCCCGTAGGTGTTGAGATGGCGGGAGGGGAAAAGCAGAGGATAGGGCCTGAAAAAGCGGGTTAAATGGAAGGAAAGGCTGGGAAAGAGAGAGGGATGTTGGCAGAGCGTGTGGCGTGATTTGAAAAGCTGAGATCCGTGCGGCAGTGCCAAACACACACACCAGCCGAAGTTCCCTTCGCAGACCGGCTTTTGTTTCCATCTTGGCATTTTACACCGTCTTTATTCTCTGCCCGCCGTCCTATTCTCCGTTTTAACAAATGCATAGTTATATTAACAATAATTAATGGTTGATAAGGAGGAGGAGGATTCATTTTGGTGTTGTTATTGTTGAAATGATTTCTTTTATTCAAATCTCTCTGCTTAACAGTATTTTTGCGTCCGTCGTGTTTGCTTGTGTATCCGGTATATATGGGGCATTTTGGTTTTAAATCTTTGCAAGATTTATTGGCTCGTTTCATCCAAACGAAAGGCCGTAAAGAAATGTGGTGCGAGCCAAAGTCAATCCTTCTCCTCCTCCAACATTTCTCCTGTTTTCCATTTCAGCTGCGCCGTTTGCTCTCATTTAGAGATCTCTTCTGAATTCTGTTGCTTTTGACTTTCTCTCTTGGTGATGAGATCATGCTACACGAGTGTTAAAACAGAGGAAAAACAACTCAACTACGACACACATACACACACACGATGGGTTTTCATGTTTTATGTCGATTTTTTTTTTCTAGTAGACAATGATTTTTATACTGTACATTCTATCCCTTAACGCTTCTGCATTGTTATGCTTTCAAAACAATGTCATTTAGTATGATATATGATATAAGATTATATGATTTCTAAGCCGTTTTCCTGATGGGGACCAAAAAATGTCCCTACAAGATAAAAATAATTCTGGTTTTACTATCCATGTAGAAACTAAATGTAGGGAACATACTGTAGGGAATCCCTGAACGACAAACACACACACAATCATAATTTATATTTACATCAAATTAATAAATAAATGTATATCATTTGATATGCTGTGTTTTCCACATCACATAATTGCTGAGTCAACTATTGTAAAACTCTTTAAAGAAATTATTTTTTCGAGTAGGTAAAATATATAAATAATCATTGCTTTATTTTTGCGTGTAGGTAAAATATACAAATAACAAAGCAATGATTATTTGTATATTTTACCTACACACAAAAATCAAGCAAAAATGAATATATAATATGCTAAAAAAGTATTTTTAAAATAATGTATTTTTGTTTGTTAAATTACGTTTAATGCCTTTTTGCTTTCTATTTTATTATAGCGAATTTAAAATATAAAACACAGCAAAGAAATTTGCTGACAAAACGGAAGATTTGAAAACAAATCAACACACTTATTCGAATAACATAAAAATAGTATTAACCGATAAAAAACATTTTATGAACACTAATATTAAAAGTTATTAAATGTTTATAATAAAAAATAATATATATATTTGATATTATGAAAATTACATGTTTTTTTTAGGATTTTTTACATTTTCTAGTGTCCAAACAAATGAGTATACAGATTATAAAACAATTCTAATGACATAAAAAAAGTAAAACTCTCTCAAAAACACAATAAACACCCAACTAACTCAATCACCCTGCTAAAAAATGACTCTATAAATGATATCAAATGAAATGAAATGTAAAGGTGAGTAAAGCGCCATGTCAGTGGTCAGCGCGGGTCGGCTGTCGGTCTGGTTTACGGGCCTCGAAGCCTGGAGCAGCGGGAATCTGTTCCACAACACCTTCTCTACCAGCCAAGGAGAAACACAGCTGCCCAAAGGTCTGACGGCAACCGCTCTTATTGAAGAGGTGCCCAAACCGTCGCAAAAAAAACCTGATAAACTATTCATTTAAACACTGTCAGCACACAGCTCCCGCTAGAACGGCAACACCTCTCTGATATCTCTAACACCTCTGAAAGCTGTGGAAACGATCCTGAATGGAAGATTCGCTGTGAAACAAGTGATTTAACGCTTGACCGCACTTTAAGAGCCTATTGTCATTCGACTATATACATCCATTTCCTTTTCTGAAAGGAAAAGGCCAGCATTAGTTCCCCTCCTTTCAGCGTGTACGGCTCTCTCTCGTCTTTACAACCCGTCGTCTGACTCCAGAACTTGGCTGGACACGGACATGTTTTTATCGTGACTGCGCGATAATGGAAGCCGCATGACGTGGTGAGCTCCAGCGATGACTAACCCGAGAGAAAGCATCCATCATTCTGACAAACACAAGAAAAACATGAACTTTTTTTGAGGCGGTTGATCTGAGATGCTCGTCAACAACTCCCATTAATCATCATCATTAATACAGCCGGCGTACGACCAGAAGACTGAGCGTAATTACGCCGCCGTGCTCCTGGGTATTTAACCAGCGCGTTTCTGCAGAGTTTAACGTCATTAAATCGCTCCCGAAGGGCGATACGACACGCATCTCCTCAATAAACCACCAAACGGCCGCTTGTCCAGCATGTGCTGGTGAAACACAACCTGAAGTGTAAATTATACATAAATCGTGCTTTCCAGCACCTGACCTACGGCGCGCAAACACCACAGTACGTGCTGTTGTTCGGATGCCGGGGCCGAAATGTAAACGCTGATTTTTGGAGACAGCAAAAGCAGAGGTGATCTAAACCAGGCCTGTTTTTTCTGGCAGGCGCTCCTGCAGCTTGCACTAGCCGTTTTAAAACTGCAGTCGAAAAATACTAATAAGAGTGTAATCTTTAGAAAACACAGACGTCGTGAAACGGTGTTGAACAAACGGTGCAGTTATGTGGATGTGGCAAAGCGGATGTGGCCGGAACAATGAGGCATCGGGCCGTTTTAATAGCGTCCGGATTAAGGCAGGAGATTGGGCCGGGTCAGCAGGAGATAATCTGAGTCCTGGCATTCCGTTAAACAGGAAAAGGACGGCATGGTGAACCGGCTAACTGACGCTGAGTTCCACACGGCGCGAAAGGGAAACTCGGCATGGGCAACAAAATCTCTCTCAGCGCCTCTGCCAACAAACAGAATTATGGCTCTGTGTCACAACAAAGGAGAAAAACCGTCGTCAAACGTTGCCTGTTCACATACTCTGAGTGCACAGATAATAGCTGAATATCTGAGCTGTCTGTAAATAGCTGCAGATATAATATTGTGCTGTTTGCCTGGGTCTATTTCGGTTTAATATATTCAGCATTGACCAAGATATAGTGCATCTGACAAATAATACTAACAAAACCACGACAAATAAATATAAAATAAATGAAATAATAAATAAATAATAGATAGATAGATAAATAAATAAATGCATTTAAATAAAACAAAAAAAAGAGTCAAATGTATTATTTAAACTAGGGCTGTGCAAAAGTTAATTGCGATTAATCGCATCCAAAATAAAAGTCTGTTTTACATAATATATTTGAGTGTGCTGTATATAATTATTTTGTATATATAAATACCTATGCATGCATGTATATATTTAAGAATTATTTGCGCTTAAATTCTGTATATATATAAATACATAATCAATATTATAATAATATAAATATTTTATATAGGAATAACACATTTTCTTAAACATATACATGCATGTGTGTGTATTTATATATACAAAATAATTATATACAGCACACACATATATACTATGTAAACACAGACTTTTATTTTGGATGCGATTAATCGCAATTAACTTTTGCACAGCCCTAATTTAAACATAAAAAAACTAACTAAATAAAATGCATTAAATTACAATAATTGTGTTATTAATCTTGGTCGTGATTATTATAATAAACATAATGCCAAAGACATTCTGGAAAAATAAAAAAATGACAGTGTGATCTCTTTATCATTTTGATTGTTAAAATATTTTTTTAAAAAAATATTGATAAATTAATCAAATGCATAAATTGAGACTGAATAAAATCTAAATTGAAAGTAAATGTTGTGTCTATGAGAATGTGATCATTCTGATATTAGGGGTGTGTGTGTATTTAAGGAGAGCGGTGTGTACACGTGTGTGTGTGTGTGGCCTTCACCAGCTGGGAGAAGGCCAGTTGTCACTGCCACGATAAACAATCTGACATTTACACACGTACGCACAACTATCAGAGACACGGTCGCACTGTCACACGCTGCAACATGCATGACCTGTAAACCAGTTCACACACACACACACACACACACAAAGCCAAGCAAAAAGTTTTGGCAATTTCACAGAAATGATCAGAACACCAAGCTTAAAATACAAAGAAATAAACACAACAAAGGCTGTTATTTGCATACATTTGCATTGGAGTGTGTTTTTGGATCGCAGCCCGGAGCGGATCTGGACCGGGTTTACGCGGCGGCGGCGGCGGGACTCACCTGGCGAGTGGACGAAGTAGGCCAGATACAGGTCCAGCTCTTTGACGGACACCCCGATGTGGTGCGGCTGCACGCAGAGGCCGTGGTTCGAGCACTGCGGGGACTTGACCAGCCTCTCTCCATCCGTGCTCTCCAGCGGGCTCCCCTTGAACAGGATAACCATCACCAGGTCCAGGCGCCAGACCTTGTCCGCTTGCCGCAGGCAGTCGATGCGCCGGATCTTGCCCTTCTGGTCGGGGTTGGACAGCACGCAGCACGGCGGCTTCTTCCCCGTGATGGTGAGCACGAAGTCCTCGCGGAACTCCGGGCGGATGTCTTTGCGGAGCTTGGCGAGCAGACGGGACGCCCACTTCTGCTTGATCTCGGGCTTCTCGCCCAGGAGTTCGTCTTTGACGGCGCGCTCCTCGTCCTTCGTCATGCGTTTCTCGTGCTTCTTGAAGTACTTGCGCTTGCGGGCCTGGAGGTTGAACCAGGTGTAGGAGAACGCGCGGACGTGTGGCAGCAAAGCCTCGATGAAGGGATGAAATTCATCCTGGTGGACGACAACAACAACAACAACAACAAAAGAGAGGGATTTCAGAGCTCAAGTAAATCAGAAGGTATTTGAGAACTTTGGAAAATTGCATGCAATCACATATATTTGTCCAGTAAAAATATCGAAAATGCAGACTGAATTAATAAAGGTTTCTTTAAATGTGTTTTCGTTTTTAAGCATAATTCTAAAAATCAAACGCATAAATACATTCACATAAAGCAAGCATATTTTATCTTAATCAGTTGTGTTCCTCAAACACATTTACCCCGTTTTAAGGACGTTTCGATCTTTTTACTTGAAATAAACGCAAAAATACAGATTGAGAGAATGGTCGAAATCAATTTAGTCCATTACAAGGATTAACTTTCAATTGAAAATTCTCCTCACAGAAGCATGCATCAAAATCCCCTTAAGCTCAGACACAATTACTCGAAATGAATCAAATACTTTAGTAAATTGCTAAGTAAAACATTGCAGAGGCAGTGCAGGAATTCCAGGGCTCTGCGATTCACAGAAAGCAGCTTCTTTAGCTCAAGACAGGCCAAGAAAAGCTTGGCGATCCCCACGGCAACGGAAGACCCATTCAGCTCTCCAATAATACCTTCACCACACAACGCTCAGTGACAAAGCCTAAACCGCGCCACGGTGCCCCAGTGCCAGGCCCGCCGTGCCCCAGACCCTCTCCGCCAACTCTCGCCACAACAAGACCGCGGTTAAACTGCGTCCCTTCAAGACCTGCCATCAAAAGCTCTCTGCGGGCTGCTGTGCTGCTGAAATCCAGGCATGTTCACATTTCCACAATCGAGATAGCACCATGAAAAGCACACTGCAGACAAGAGCAGAAAGAGAGAGAAAGGCTGGTAGTTACCATTTTGCACTCTCATCATAAATTTGGCACGCCGTTCAGGATAGAAAAAAAAAAGAAAAAAAAAAATCCACCCGCACCAGTTCTTTGCCACTCACGCCGAAACAACAACTGCTGGCTTGGCAACGATGAAGGATTGGCGACGAAAAAAAAAAACTTGGGTAAAAAGGAAAGAAGACTGGAGTCGCTCCAATTGCCGGCGGAAGTTAAATTCAAGATTAGGAAATTTTGTTTTGCTTTTGCCGCAAACGGTTCAAGGTAAAATTACAAGATTACATTTTTTTTTAATTAATATATATATATTAAAAAAAAAATTAAATAATAAAGGTGTGTGCACCTGAAAAAAAAATAGAACTAGAAAGGCAGCAGCGCTCAGAATAAATGCTTTCGCTTTCCAAATTATTATTTAAAAAAAAAAAAAAAAAAAAAATCTAAACAATGCCGGGAAAAAAAAAATCCTTGGCAAAGAGCAATGAGTGTTTTCTTAGATCTTTGGATCCGGCAGAAAACTCAGAGAGCGCGGCGCACACACACACACACGCAACGCAGACACACGCGCGCACATGCATGCGCGAAGGGGGGTGCGGGGTGGGGGGAGTTAGCTGGCTAATGCAAAGCACAGAATACAGGCAGGAAAAAAAAGAGAACCGAATCAATGTTGGACGAGCTCGCAAGACCGCTGGCAAACCCAAGTGCTGCTGCTTTTTTTACTCCTTTTCTCTCCAACTCTCTCTCTCCCTCGATCGCTCTCTCTCGCCCTCTCCGCGTTCTTTCCTTAACCATTGCCTGAGTCTTTGCCAACACGAGTATAGGGCCCACCTATTTGGCAACAAGATGCCTGTAGCTCAGCCAATACGTTAGCTTGAAGAGCTGAAAGGGAGGGGAAAGAGAGGAGGAGGGGGGCTGGTGGCAGAACGAACGAGAGAGAGAGAGAGAGAGAGAGCAAGAGCACCCAGTCCAGTCCGATGGTGCACAATTTGCCAGTTTGACAAGTTCCGATCCACCACCGAGGCAAAGTTCAGCATCCCATCAAGCTTGTCATGGCAACTGTGTTGTTAAGTCTGGGTCGCGTCGACTGAGGCTGTGGCTCCACCAGACCCTCCCTCCACCTCCCCTCACCCCGGCTTGCGTAATGCCACCTTGGCACGGGCTGATGGGAGAAAGCGCTCCGAAAACTCCCAGCAGACCCTGAAGCCGGCAGCTGCTTGTGGATTTAGCGGCCGAGACAAAGACGAAAGCGACCGCGCACCCCATGTGCATCTCTAATTTAAAACAAACATATGCTGTGTTTGTCTGCGAAAACACCCAACGCAAGGAGCGCGATCAAGCATATCTGACTTGGTTGCTCAAAAAAACTTTGCAAAAGTTGTTCGGAGTGACGTTGAATAAATATTAAGTTTGCTGCAGCAAAAAAAAAAAGAAAAAAAAAAGAAAATCTATTGTACCAGAAGTTGTGAAATCTCCCATCAGCCATCTTCGAGAATGATTTAATGAGCGTTTGACAACAGATTCTATAAGATCCCTCCAAAGGGAAAAACGAGACTTTTCCCGCATACACACTAAGAAATGCTGGGTTGTTTCAATCAAAATTTTGAGTCAAATATGGACAAACCCAAATGTTGGGTTAAAAAGGTCATTTAAAATGTTAACCCAACTTCAACGGTACATTTTTTAATTACATTTTTAACCCAACATTTGGGTTTGTCCATATTTAAAACAACCCAGCATTTTTTAGTGTACAATTCAAAGTTAATGTGAATCAGAAATAAGCCAGTGAATGATCCAAAATGTTTTTAAACTGATTGATTTAACTGTGAGTGCAAATACTGTGTTTTTTTTTTTACCCCCCTGCACATGTAATCGTAAACTTTTAAACAAGTTTTGAGAATACTTTAATCATGCAGTCAAAATGAATCTAAAACAACAGCTTAAATAAAGCAGGAGATGTTCAGATCTGAAACCTGAACGAGTCACAGACGGGGCTGCGGATCACTTCTGGTTGACGTTCTACGACAAACAAACAAACAAAACAAAAAAATCACTGAATGACTGCTTGGATGCTGTTCTTCCCACGAAAAAAAAAAAAAAAAACAAGACAAGGAAATTGATTTGAAATGCTGGATTAGCAAACATATGCAAATATCTCTTAAATGAGAGACCAAGGAAGCCTCATTGGACGGATGTATGGTGACAACGCTCTCCCGTCGCAGTAAAACTCTTCATTAGTGTTTCCTCTTTCAAATCTGAGCCTACGTGTCAAAACCAACACCTGCTTGAGGTCTCTAATAAGATGCTAATTGAAGCACACAACCAGAGGAGAACAGAATTTGTTTATGAATGCATTTGATTCAATAAAAGCAGCACCTTTATTTCAAACAATCCCTTCTCTGTTTGAAACACAGCCCTTAATGGCTTATACCAGTGTGGGTATGAGATAATTAGGTCCTGATCAACATGTGCATTTGAAAGTTCACTTGCCTAAAGCACAATCACTTATTATAGGAAAGCAGTGTACGAGAATAGGCATTTTACAAAGCAAAAACATGGTATTACTTTTCGAATAATACTTTATTTAATTCAATTTCAAATTGTAGGCCTATTGATTTGTAGTTCAAAAATATGTTTTTTTTTATAATAAACTGTTAGACTATTTAAAATGGCTTTCAATTCAAGTAACAAACAGATAGACCAGAGAAAGTACAGAGACACTTTTTAATTTTTATATCACTATACAAAAACTAGATCCTAATTTATTTTCACATGATATTTCCTTTGCTTGTGTACTAAAATATAATAAATCAATAATATCCATAAGTAGTTTATATTTTCCACATTTAGCTCAAAAACGTCAGGTGCAACCCACGCCAGTTATTGTGTTATTCCTGCCAACACACTTAAAAATTCGAAGAAAAAAAAATATCAAGGTCTTCATGGACTCTTAAACATTGTCTTTAAATTTGAGGTAAAATATTCAGTAAATCGGGTAACTGACAGTTAACCTATTCGTTGCTTGTCAACCATAAACAACACAGTTAGGCTAATGAACTATTTATTTTTGCTACAGTGCTGTAACAGAAGATTCCGCGTTAGGCTATTATTTTACTTCTGGGCCTGCCATCAATTTTTTTCACCAAAAATGTAACTAGCAAACAAACCGGAAGGTTAAATGTTTGAAGGGTTAAGTGTTTTTCTTTTTTTAATAATCACGGGCAGCAAAACATCATTATTTCCAACCCTGTGACTGTCCTGTCACCAAATAAATGGTCTCTGGTTCCTTACCTAAGATCCCACCACACAAGACGTGTTGCTCATCAAATAGGTCAGGAAAATCCCGAAATACCGTTCAGAGTTAGAAAATCAGCGTTTAACGTTTACTTGTTTGTTTATTATCGTTTTGCCAAGTAACATCAGCAGCGCGTGATACCTGCGCGTCACGTCCGCCATTTTGACCAAAAATGATGAGGAGCCCAAGATTTCTGCCAGCTCAATTAAAAATAATAGCTGTTATTTTTTCCCTTTCGCCTGTTTCTTATACAATATTAATGCTTAAAAGAGAGAAGACATCATTTCTCAAGTGTGTGCCAGGCAGCAGTCGGATGGAAATGAACGAGCTGGAAAGAGTGTTTGGAGTCGCGCGCCAGAGAATCATTTGTGTTAGTTTGTCACTGACGGTAAAATCAATTAATAATAACAAAAAAGCACCTTCCAATCAATGCAGGGGGAAAAAAACTGTTTGGCCAAAGAAAATTACTTGATCATCCAAGCACGCACAATTTTTAATAATGTAGGCTAGGAGGATACTACAGAAATGGCACAAATTATTGGCATTTAGGCTTAAAGCAAATACATTTTCCTGGCATAAAATGTTCAAAATTCATAATCAAGTAACACAATCAGCCTAATAAAACGACAAGTTGCGATATATGAGAAATAAAGCAGAGATGGAAATACTTTTTTTGAAAGGCCTAAACTTTTCTTAGCCCAATCAAAAACTTTACTCACTCACATGATAAATATTGTTATTAATTAAATTGTGTTTAGATATTTGAGCTATACCATTAGAGGACTATAGCTAGCCTATAGCCTGAGAACTTGCTGTCAAGTTGTTGACAACTTTGCACTATAAAGGAAA